AGACAGATTTTCGGCATTTTTAAATAACTTTTCCCTTGTTATTAGTATGTTCCAGGTCCTCTTACATTTCTTTTGCTTTCCACTTTAAATTTTTTTATTCTCACAAAAAATAGTAGATTTACTGTTATGCAGAGTACTGCATTAGTGTAGAAATTGTATAAATAATATCAGCGCACTTGTGAAAGAATATTAGACTCACCAGTTGACATGTATTGGAGGTTCCACTGTATTCTGTTTTTTTTCAGTATACAGTACACTACTGTATAAACATTTAAAAATATACCAGAAATGTTATAAATGGTGCAGAGGTGACATTAAAACAACCATTATAGTATGCTCCACTTAGTGACTAATTCGTTTAATAATGTGGTCTTAGGAACGGAACTCTGTCGTTAAGTGAGGAGAGGCTGTATTGCCACTGCTACACATCCATTGTCCTTCAGTGTTTGTTTAAAAGCCTCTTCCCTTTTTTGTGTTAGCTGTTTTGTGAATTTTTGTGTGTTATCCCAATTTATATACTTAATTTTTAGTTTTACATTTTGAGCATTGTCTTGTTTAATTTTTATTTACAGAATAGAAATAGTGGTTATTTCAGATCCTGAATGTTCTCTAAAAACTCATCTTAATTATCATATATTTTTTGCAGGTAAGGTGATGAAAAAAACTATGACACGACTGTATAAAGATGTAGTTGTCAATGTTTGGGAGACACTCAAATTAGCTGTTCCAGCCTTTTTGTATGTTGTTCAGAACAACTTACTTTTCATTGCTCTCACCAATTCTTGATGCTGCCACTTACCAGGTTAGCAAGATTCCTAGTCATTCAAGCATACCTCTGTTAAATATGTTGAGTGTGCCTAACTGTAGAATATACTTAGTGTTATATGCATGATTCATATTAAATAAAAGGCACATTTTCTTCAGGTTACCTACCAGTTGAAGATCTTGACAACTGCCATTTTCTCCTGGGTGATGCTTGGCAAGCGTCTTGCACCCATCCACTGGCTCTCTCTCTGTCTGCTTATGCTGGGGGTTTCACTTGTTCAGGTATTTTTTTACATATTCATTTTTGATGCATTGTGAAGTCAAAGATAATTTGCTTAACCCATTAACTGTCCAAAGGTATATCTACATTCTCTTGCCCAGCGCTCCGAATATTTTGAAAAAAAAAAAAAATAATTTTCTATTAAAATAAAAGAAGACATTTTTCTATGTGTAATAGGGTAAAAAAAAAAATTTTAGGGTCAGTACTTAGCTTGATATAAGACTGCGAAGTTGACACTGGATGCTCACATGACAGCAACATAGAGTCCTGCCATTTGCAGAAGTGTTGCCAATATTCCTTTTTTTTTTCTCTCATTTTTTATTTTTCATTTATATAATTTTTTATGCTCTGATAATTACAATTTGTAGTAGTACTTGTGATTTCATAGCCAGTCTTTATTCTGACATAATATTAGGTACTGAAATAGTACTCAAATAGTCACAAACACACTGACAGGTGAACATTTTCACCTGCCTTGATCACATTACTGTTGTCTAGAAATATATCGTACGTAGTACAGTGGTACCCCAAAGTTTTGGCCATAATTCATTCCAGAAGGCTGTTCGAGTCCCGTTACTGAATAAATTTGTTCCTGTAAGGAACCCAAAATACACTTACAAAAGCACTTACAATAATACACTTACATAATTGTTCGAGTTGGGAGCTGTTCAAACTGGGATATCACTGTATTTATAGGTCCCAGCAATGTTTTAGACCCCACTGGAGTATAAAATGAAACTCCTTGAAGTATGGTGTAAGATGATGTCACTCCACTGCGACAGTGCATCAGTGGAGTGACACTTGATGATTGATTGTGCACTGCCTTGGCTTTATTTTTTTTCACTGTTACACATAAATGTGTCTGCCTTTTGCCTAGCTTTCTTTGTTTATCTCTGTCTCTGCTTATCTGTCTTTCTGTCTTTTCTGTCTCTCTGTCTGCTTGTCTCTCTTTCTGTCTCAGAGAAAGAGAGCCCCTCATGAACCAACAGGTATTACACACGTGCAGTCATCATGTCTGATCCTGAACAAGTGAAAATACGTATTACTTGCCAGTCATGCTTATTATGCATTATATCTACAAGCACAGTATAGCCCCTTTGTCTGGATTTTTTGGGGTTATCCTAGGTAATTTACACTATGTATAATTATATTTAATGTGTACCTGTGAGATAGAGACAGAGACTGGGATAGATACAGACAGATGGAGATAGAGACAGCCAAAGTCAATCAGCCATCCAGTCAGCCTGCTGAACACATATTACATTTTTCCACAATTGTTTCTCTTTATTTAGGACATAGGTTATAGGGATTTTCTGGCAGGATGACATACCATGGTACCAAATTGAAAGGTTGTTCCCAAAAATTTCTGCACAGGGTTGGGATTGAGGTTTTTGACATTTTTTTCAACCCTTTGGCCACATCCACCTAAAAAGCCCAAAAACCCCGTGTCGGGCATCATTTTTCCCTTTTAAAAAGGGAGTGTTAATGGGGGGGGGGACAGCCATCGTGTTTTCCCTGGGGGTTTGCCACATGTTTGTTTTTGCTGACGCTCAGTTGAAACTGGTTTCTCCCCAAGGGCTCTAGTGGCCCCCAGATTTTTTTAAATTATTACGCACACTGAGTTTTAAAGGGCCCCAGTCTGTGCTGCCCAGGTTCTAAAGGCCAATTGTCCCAAAAATTTGGAAAAATTTTTGGGTTTGTAGGTTGGTGGGGAGAGAAACCCCATTCCGGGGACCCCTACTACTGTCTGCAGGTGACTTTTTGAAAAAAGAAACCTGTAACTGTTTTACATGATGGAAAGATTGCGGTTGTCTTTTTTCTGTCTCATAACACACTGGTAAACAGGTATATCTTGCTCTTTTTACTTACACTTAGGTCCACAAACCAGGAGAAATATGCCTTTTTGTTTTTTATATATATTTTATATTATTTATATGCTTTTTAAAAATATTATATATATATATATATATATATATATTTTTTATATATTATATATATATTTATATATATTTTATTATTTTTATATAAGTGGACCCCCGGTTAAGGGAACTTTTTTTTTTCCAGTAGTTTGTTCAGGTCCCAGTATTTTTTACCAAATTTTTTTCCCTTTAAGGAATATTGTAAAGGGAGTTTAAAGCCCATTTTCAGCCCCCCAAACATAACGTAAAAAATTGCACTTACAAAAATAAAATTTAAACATAATTGGTGCTTTTGGGGTGATCGTTTAAGGGGGGGGGGGTTCCACTGTATATATATTAATTATATATATTTTATTTATATATATTTTATATATTTTATATATATATAATTTATATTTATATATATATATATATATTTATATATATATAAAATTTTATTTATATTTTTTTTTTTTTTTCCAAAAAAGCCCGGCCGTCCCCCAACCGGGGGCAGGGTGACCCAAAAAAAAAAAGAAAAAACCCCCAAAAAGAAAATACTTTCTCATCTTTAAAAACACTTCCCCAAAAACTCCACATTATACTTGCTTTGCAGAGGTGCTCGAATTAAACCATTTTTGAAGCATTTTAGTTTAGGGGTTTACAAAAAACAATCCTCAAAACTCCCAATTATATTATATATATTTATATATATATATATTTATATATATTTAAAAATATATATATAATATTTTATAATATTTATATTTATATTTTATATTATATATATATATATATAATTTAAAATATATATTTTTATTTTTTAATTTTTTATATATTATCCCACACCCCTACCACCCGATTTCGACAGGTTCGGTTCCGAAAAAACCGGGGGCGTAAGTCGAATTTTTCTACGGGAATATCAACAAAAATTTTTGTAAGGGACTATTTTTTTGGGTTTTATTTTGGTATTTCCCTTTTTAACTTTATTTTTTTTGCTGTTAGTATTTTTTCTATACTGAAAGGTTTTGGGATAAACACTTTTTTAAAAACCCAAAAATATTTGTTTTTTTTTCCGAAATTTGGCTTTAAAAAAACCGGTCGTAAGTCAAAGTGGTGTAAGCCCGAGCAGGTCGTAAGTTGGATGGTAGGTGTGTGTTTTGTGGTGGGGACGCCCCAAAATTGTTAAAAAAAAAAAAAAAGAAAAAAAAAAAAAAAAAAAAATTTAATATATTTATTTTTTAAAATATACTTTTGTAGGATTTTGAGTCCTGGAGATGGGGAAGTACAGTCCGGGCACTCTGAAGGAGGGGGTTTTTAAGGTTGCATTTTTAAAAACTGTAGTGTAAAAAACCATTCTGGAAAGGAACAGTGATGGAGTGAATGAGGGGTTGAAAGTTTTTTTTTTTGGGGCCCCCACCCTCCCTTTGGGGGAATCGGCCAGTGTGAAAATTAAAAAAAAAAATGTTTATATATAATGTACTTGGTTTTTAGAGGGGAATGATAAAATTTTGGGTCATTATTTAGTTGTAGCTACAGTTAGAGGGGAAAGGGGGGCAAAAAAACAAGTAAGGGGAGGTTTAAAGTGTATAAAATTTAAAGGGGGAGGAAAATTTCGGGGTGAGATATAAAACGACTATTTGGGAGAAAAAGGGGGGTAGTGCAAAGATGAGTTGTGGGGGGGTTGAAGAGGGTTGGAAAAAGTTTTAAAAATGAGTATTAGGGAAAGTGGGGGAAAAAGTTTGTGGTTTTTAGGAGGGTGGGGGGAAGGGGGGAAAGAGGACCCAAATGATTGGTGGAATTTATGAATTTTAAAAGGGGGTGATTTAAAAAAAAGGGGGGGAAAAAAAATTTGCTTTTTAGAGGTTTTTAAAAGTGAAGTGTTTTAAAAAAGAGCAGAGTATATGGAGAGTAAAAGAAAGGTAAAAAAAAAGTGGTGGAGAGTGCAAAAGGAGAGCAGTGGAAAAGGTGGGGGAGGCCCCTTTTCAAAAAATTTTTTAAGAAAAAGAAAAAAATTTTGGGGGTGAGTTAAACAAGTTAAAAAAGCCCCAGGGAAAAAAATGGATTTGTCAGTTTAAAAAAAGAAATAGGGGGCTTAGGGGATGGGGAGATGGAAAGGGATTTGGGAGGGTGGCGAGGGTTTTTTTGGGGAAAAATTTTAAAATTTTTAAAGGGAAAAAACAGAGGGAGTTTAAATTTTATGCACTGGGCAGGGGGGTTTACCATCTTTTAGGGGGTGAAGAAGGAAGAATGTAAGGGGGGGGGGGAGGTTTTCGTGGGCATTAAAGTAAAAAGAAAGGGGGGAAAACCCCCTTGGGAACTGAAGGGATTCTTTACAGAAATGGTTTTAAAGCAGGGGGGATATAGTGTTGGTGGGTTGGCCCCTTGTGTTTAAAAAATGTTATGGGAAAAAGGGGGAAAGGGACCTAGGGGGGGTTGGCGGAGAGCATGTATAGTCCCTTTATTTTAAAGGGAAAGGGGAAAAGAGACTGTAAAAATTATAGGTTTTAAACTTATGAGTATACCCGGAAAAGTGTACGGTAGGGTTATAATTTAAAGAATTAGAGGTAAGACCGAATGGGGATTGCGGATGGGGAAGGAGGGTTTTTAGAGGGGTAGGGGATGTGTAGTCAAAATGTTTACATTGAAGCATATATGTGAAAAAGTATTTAGATAAAGGTAGGGAAGTTTTTATTGGGTTTTTTGGATTTTTGAAAAGGCCCTATGATAGAGTGGATAGAGGGGGCAATGGGCCCGATGTTGCAAGTATATGGGAATTTGGGGGTAAGTTATTAAAAAGTTTTAAAGAGTTTTTTTTGAGGATAGTGAGGCTCCGGTTTGGGTGTTTTAGAAGAGAGGGAGACTACTTTCCCCGGTTTAAAAGGGAGGTCTTTGACAGGGATGTGTAAAGTCACCTTTTGGTTTGTTTAATATATTTTTAGTGGGGTTTTAAAGGAAATTAAAAAGTAGGGTGTTCGGGGGGAGGGGTGGGTTTTAAAATTTTGGGGAAACAAATTCAAAATTGGGGGAAATTTACACAGTTACTTTTTTCTGATGAAAACTGTGCTTATGGGGAGGCTAAAGAAAAAATTTCAAAAGGTTTTTGT